TATAAGTGATATACATAGTGATAAACAATTGAAATTTATCAAGAAAACAATTTTTACAAAAAATAAAACAATTTACATGTTTATTATTTTATATTAACTATTTGATAAAAATAGTATATATAAATTTGATAATAACTTCAAGTTTTAACAAGTTAAAAAGAACCATCAATACAACATATTTAATTCAAAAAAACATCAAGCCCATTTATAAATGCGTCTGTACTGTATCTGTAGAAACAGGTAGATGTTAAACAAAGTACCATTCACATATTAATATTCATTTTTTTTCACCCTAGTTAGTCTCATTCTCCATTTCACCAATCTAGACAATACATCATACAACTATTATATACATTCTAACTAGTTTTCTTTATTTACTAATTCATTTTACTTATAATTATTATCTATTATAACTTACTTTATAATTAGGCATTATACACAATTATGAATGTTGCCAAATGTTAGGTATATAGAAAAAAGTAGCAATGAATATATCATTATTTATAAATGCAAATTATTAGATTGTTACCTCTTTTTTGCCTAAGCTATCTGCATTATGTACAACATCGTTTATATTTCCAGTCAAACATTCCTGCCTATAATGTAACTTTATTAAAATGATTTATTCAAACTAATACATATATAAATGTTACCTGCATGTTAGAAACATTTATATAGAACAAGGCAGCAACAAATATTATATTATATATTTACTTTTGTAATTAAAAAAAAAACTTACTTCTTCTTCTGAGCTATCTGCATGATGTACAACATCATTTACAAACCTGTTTTCTTCACGTCCTTCCATTTTTTAATATATTATAAAGCACAGGACTTGTTAATGAACGGCTAAATAAATAAATTAAAAATTTATATTTAAATGAAATGATAAGGTTAAAATGAAAAGATTTATACACATATATAAATTTTACCTGCATGTTAGTAACATTTATATAGAATAAGGCAGCAACAAATATAGTATAACTTATAAATTGTAATTTTAAGTAAAAACTTACTTCTTTGTCTGAGCTGTCTGCATGATGTACAACATTATTTATATTGTCAGTCAAACTTACCTGCTTATAATGCAGTAATTTAAATAAAATGATAAAGTTAAAATAAAAGAACTTACGCACATACCATTAAATTCAAAAATTTATTATATTTTTACTTCACTATTTAAAACATAACAAATATGTAATTTATAAAGTCTAGTAATGTAAAAGCATAGTAAATATCAAAGTGTGTGCAAAAATTAATTTATTTTAACTAAAGACGAGCACTTTACATCAGTTAAATATAAACAAATAAAAATAATTGTATTATAATAAATAGTAGTGTATTATTTATAAACATTGCTTTTATATGCTTATATTTAACTATGAAGTAAAATCTTGTGCATTAAGTAAATTCCCTTACTGATACTTATAAAATATTACCACAGTTTTCCTTCTCCAACTAAGTGGTTCTTGGAACATCCTTACAAGTTGAATCCCAAAGATTACGTTTATATCTTTTCTGGTTTAAACTCAATTCACCATTTTATTTTGACAGCTTTTGAACTATTTTTAAAAATATTAAATGCATATAAAAACTGACGATGTTATAAACAATATAAACGATGAACAACATTATTTATATTGCCAGTCAAACCTGTTGGCTTATAATGTAGTAATTTAAATGAAATAATAAAGTAAATATAAAAGAATTTATAAACATTATTTATATTACATTATTTACATATTCTAATAATTCTAAAGAAAAAACTACAACAAAAAGACAAAAACAACTTAACAGAACTAAAATTGAATAGAACATTTATCATAAAAAAATGTTTTTTAATACTTAATGAACATTTACGATACAATAAACTTCAAGCATTTTTATGTAATCTAAGGCTATTATAAAAAATAAAATAAAAAAGATCATACTAGTTATCTTTTGTACATTAGTTATCTAATCTTATTATCTTAGTTATCTAATCTTATCTAATATACTGCTTGTATATTAATATTTTAAATAAGTTTCTTTAATACGTTCAATAAATTTTATAATAATAATTATACTAGTTTGAATGTACATTAAATTACACTATGTACATTAATACACTAGTTATTTAATGTAGATTAAAACTAAACATTTATTTGTTGTAAACCAAATAATAATTATTTGGCAAATAATTTGCCAAGTAGGCATTAAAATTCAAACTGGTTTACTTGACATACTTGCTATACTATTGCAAGTTATGCAAAGTAAGCAAAGCTACTAAAAACAGTTAAAATAAGTATATGCATAAATGATATATAATAAAATATAATTAAAAAAAAATCCCTTTTATAATGCATTATATGATAAATATATCTAGTTGTTTATGTCTGTATGTTTAGTTAAAACATATAAATGTATTGCATTATAAAAAACATGTAATTCATAGCCTTATTAAACACAGAAAAACAGAAGAATGCAGTAAGTATTGTTTTCTAATTTAAAAATGATCATAACTCTACGAGCTATGACGCCATCTTTAAAAGCGCATTTGTAACAACCATGGCGCAGCTTAAGCTCTGAAAAAAAAAACATGGTTCACCCATGGAAATTCCATAGGATTTCAATTTTCATGAAATTTACCCATGGAAATTCCATGGAATTCCCGTTTTTCATGGGAAAACCATGGTTTACTCATGGAATTCCATGGGTTTTCCATGGAATATTTCCGTAAGGGATATATATATATATATATATATATATATGTTTGTGTGTGTATATATATATATATATATGTGTGTGTGTGTGTGTATATATATATACATATATATATATATATATATATATATATATATATATATATATATATATATATATATATATATATACATATATATATGTTTGTGTGTGTATATATATATATATATATATATATATATATATATATATATATATATATATATATATATTTATATATATATATATATATATATATATATATATAAATTGGTTGATTGCGTCAGCATTTCAGCACCCTTCAATTGTTAACTTGGAAACAGTTGAAGGGTGAAACAACTTGGAAAACTGCTGGAAAAAATTACAATTTTGCAGCTGCTATTCTTTTTTTCTTAAAATCTTTATTAAAATTTTTACTTGAAGCTAAGTTCTTGCTTTTTAATAAGATTCTTTTTATAATTGGCTAATAACTTTCAATGACTTGCTGCTCACAAGAACTTGAATTTAGAAGAATTTCATTCTGCGCAAGTATGAGACTTTTTATTTCATTGTAGAGACTTTTTGGAGAGTGTATTGTATGTAGTTTATTGTATAGTAGTAAATTGTAGCCAATCAGATCAAGCCATAATATTGAGGACATATCATGTTTTTCAATAAATGACAAAAGGCGTTTTTTTCAGTATTCTTTTGTATAAAAATCTGCATTTAAAATTTATGAGTGGTGTATGGTGTATGGTGATTACCTTTCAAATCCCAGAAGTAGATTTCTCAACAAATTGCTTTAATTTATTCATCAATGAATTGTTTTCTTTTTATGATATGCTTTATATTCTTGAGATCTTGAGTACTTTTCCTATCAAAGCAAAGGTTGCATTTTAATTTTCTTGCAAGAAAATTGAAATGCAACTAAGCTTTTTACATGGTCTCAAAATAAATCCAACTAAGCATTGAGAAACGCTGATCCATTTGAAATGTCAATTTGTGATAATGAAGGATTTTAATTTATAGTTTATATTTATTATAAATTGATTATTAATGTTTTTGAAAAGTGATATTGATTATGGGTTTTTTTATTTTATTTTTTTTTATTTATTTTTTTAATTTGGAATTGAAATTTTTTTTAATTTGGAATTAAAAATTTTTACTTTAAAAGCCATTGCTAATGAAATGCATTATTTTATGGATAGATTATAGATAAACTTGCTTTATATTTATTTATAAATCATTTCTTTTTTTACCTCTTTGAGAATTCAATAGATTGAGTCTGTTAACATGGCCTCAAAATAAATCCAACTGATTGAGAAACGCTGATCCATTTGAAATGTTAATTTGTGACAATGAAGGATTTTAAATTATAATTTATTTTACTCATTTTAATCCAATAACAATGATAACCATGGTTAACTTTGATTACCTTTAGAATCAAACAACAACACTTTAGTTTTTGTGTGTAAAATAAAAAGGTGCTGAATTGTTTAATTATTTAAATTTTCTAAAACAATGACCCTGAAATTCGCCTACCCTGAAATTTTTTAATTAATCTATACTATTTACCCCAACATATAAATTATGTTCTTTTAACTTCAATTTTAATATCAATTTTTTGTGTTATTTAAGATAAAAGGTTATTAGACTCGAAACATTTCAATCAGTTGAATTTTATTCATTCTCTATTGTTATACTTATAGATTCAAATCTAATTATATTAATAAATGATTCAATTTTAATTCGCAATTTTAATTATACTTATAGATTCAAATCTAATTATATTAATAAAGATTCAATTTTAATTCGCAGAGCCATATTTAATTTTAGTTATAATTGTCTTTTAAACAAATTATTCTACATCAGTTTTTTACACATTTTTGTTGCTACACATAGTTAGGAGTGTCTGAGTTTTTTAATTGTTATTTTTTTTGAATTGAGCATTTATTTAAAAATTTGTAGTGAAAAAATATTTGTGAGTTTATCTGAAATATAACTTAATGCAAAATAAATTTGACACAGTAATAATAGATTATTAAAAAATATACTTGCCCCTGCTTATCATTCTGCAAATAATGTTTTCCAGCATAGACCAGGGTTTAAAAAAATTTTTATTCATTAAGGGCTGGGGTCCTTGTCACATAATAAATTCAGATTTCTTGTAGTTTGAGTTTTTAAAATCTTTCAAGACTGTGTCTATGTTTCCAAGACAAAGAATTTATTTAATATTGAAGTTATTTTAAAAACATTTTATTTTCAAATTTGAAAATGTTTTACTGTTATTTAACTTTTAGATTTCTGTAAGAATAATGAATGCTGCAATAATCAATGGTTGATTCAGGATCTTTCAGGTTTGGAAAAAGAATTGAATGAAAAAGTGTTTGGCCAGCATTTAGTCAATAAACTTGTTGGTAAAGCTGTTAATTCTCATATTAAAAATAAAGATTCAAAATCACCTTTGGTCATGTCTTTTCATGGATGGACTGGAACTGGTAAAACTTTTGTTTCCCAAATTGTTGCCAATTCTTTATTCAAAAAAGGTATAAATAGTAAATTTGTTTATCAAAAAATTGTAACAAAAGATTTTCCACATAATTTCCATTTGGAAAAATACAAAATAGAGTTAAATGAGTATATAAAGACTAATATAGGGAAATGTGAGCGAACATTATTCATATTTGATGAATTCGAAAAAATGCCAGAGGGTCTCGCAAATGTAATGACTCCCTATTTAGAGAACCAAATAAATAGTCAAGATTATAGAAAATCAATATTTATATTTCTGAGCAATACAGCAGGTGACAAAATTAACCTTTTTACTAGTAATCATTATACAAGTCGTAAATCCAGGGAGACAATTTCTCCTGATGAAATGGAAAAAATTATAAGCGACGCTTTGAAATCATCATTTGAAGACTCTATTATCATCAAAAACTCATTAATAGACTTTTACGTTCCTTTTTTACCTCTGGAGCGAGAACATGTCAAGCAATGCGCTAAGGCAGAACTTGAAAGGAATAATTTTGAATACGAAGCATCCACTTTGGACGACATTGCTGATGAAATGCATTATTTTCCTAATAAAGAACAATGGTTTTCATCAACAGGTTGTAAAACAATTGCAAAAAAAGTGGGTATTTTATCAGAACATTAACAAATGATCAAAATAGTAAACACGAATATATGATATAGGAGTTTTTGATTTTTTTATTCATTAATAATATTTTTACATTTTAAATTTTTATAACAAAAATTCTTTCTCTAAATTAAATTTTTTACGAGATATGCTAATTTAGCTTTATCTGGTAAATACAAATTAAAAATTTAAAATTAGAAAGTTAGAAAATTATTATTATTTCAAAAAAAAAATTTTTTCTTCCAAATAAAATTTTAATTCAATTAAAACCAATTAAAAGCTTTTTACTAAATTTAATATAAATTGGTTATTAATGTTTTTGGAAAGTGATATTGATTACGGATTTTATTTTTTTGTTTTTTTATTTTAAATCAAAAAGTTTTACTTTAAAAGCCATTGCTAATGAAATGCATTATTTTTTGAATAAAAGACAATGTTTTTTTGCAACAGATTGTAAAACAGTTGCAAGTAAATTGAGCTTATTTATATAGTAAAAAAACTTTTTAACAAATCATAAAATAACAAATTTAAACAAGTCTAGATGGTATTTGAGTTTTTCATTCTTTTTTTTCCTATTTGAATTTTTTACATTTTAAATTTTTATATGTAAAAATCTTCTCTTTAAATTAACTTATTTACAAATATCTTATATATATATATATATATATATATATATATATATTATATATATATATATATATATATATATATATATATATATATATATATATATATATATATATATATATATGTTTATGTATATATAAATATATATATATATATATTTATATATATATTTATATATATATATATATATATATAATAATACACACACACATATATATGTATATGTTATTTATGTGTATATATATATATATATATATATATATATATATATATATATATATATATATATATATATATATATATATATACATCAGGCCCTTGAAAACTCTGAATAGGTTTTTAGGGGCCTGGTAAGACTGATTCCACTAAGTTAAAGAAGACTAATTATACTCTAATTAGAAAGGTCAGAATTTTCAAAAAATTTGAACCATAGATGCTATTTTCCAGCAGAAAGTAAAGCAATATTTAGACAAGTATTAGATAAATAGTTCAAAGAGTATTTTTTTTTTTTTTATTTTTTTAATTCACCTCCTCAAGGCCGAGACGGCCACTACAGACAAGGAGGCTACTTATTTGTGGCTATAAACCTCTCTCAACTCTATAACTCCGAAACACGAACCTTGACGAACAAGGCCGCTGCGCGGAGAAACGAGTTGAGCGCGGTACTACCAGGGACGTGGTGGGAATCGAACTCGGAACCACTCGTTTATGAAGCGAGCGCTCTACCACTACACCACTACCGCATAATAAGTATTGAAAAAGAGTCTGTTTTGTTAATAGATGCTGCTGTGCGTATTATAAAATACTTCGAAGTTTTTTTAAAAACTCTTTGTTGTTTAGTATAACTTGAATTAGCAGCAAAACAAGTAAAAACTTAGTTTGATTTTCTAAGTTTTTTATTTAGTTTTATTTGAAGCTCGTGGCAAGTTTTACTTATTTGAAGCTGATGATACGTTCTGCTACATTTCGAGCCAACATTTTAGGTTTTAAAGGATTCTTCAAAATATGTTTTGTTTACTTAAGAGAGTCATCAGCTATTTAAAATATATTTAAAACATATTTAAAACATAAAAAAAAGTTGTCTGGATCACAAGTTGTGAAAAGTTTTCAGAGAAAACTCTTCACAGCTTGTGATTCAAAAAAGAGAAAAATTTTCAACTCAAACTCTAGTGGTTGGGATCTCTAATAATAGATTAGCCTGTTTTTCTGGAATGACATGAATAGTGTTGTCATTAGGCTCAAAAGATGAATTTAAGGTAAAGTTCTTTTAAAAATGGTTCTCCTATATCATTAGAAGAGATAATAAGATCAAACCGACGTATTAGAAATTGATTTGTTATCTGGAAATCGAGTTAGAGATTGAGAAAGATAAAAGTTTTGAGGCCTGCAGAGTCTGTGATACCATACTGAAACCATTGTGGTAAGTATTGATGTCACCAGTAACAATAATATTAGGTGATGGATAAAGACGTTGGACTTGTTCAATTTGATCACAAATATCATTGAAAAGAGTGCAGTCTTAAGAACAAAAGAGGGTTGAGTGAAATGCAAGTTTTAAAAAATGATCAAAGGACTTAAATCTGATTTGGCAACTTGGTACTTTAGTCACAATTTAAGCTTGACTAAATCATAGGTAGTGCATGTCACCCAATAGCAATTATATATGCAGTTACCTTGGAACAGAGCAATCCATGGTCAGTTGCATGGTTGTGGTCACTAATCAGGGCTGTGCAGAGAGTTTTTTAATATTAGGGGATAGTATATAGTTAATGATAGATTCTAATAATTCTAGTTCTTCTGCTGCTCTTCCTAAAACAATATCTTAATGCTTTTTTGATCACTAGTTTAAATTCTGTTTAAATTTATTTACAGCATGTATTAAAAGCAGGTTTCGCTAGTTTAATTTTCTTTTTGTATTGCTTGCATTTAATTCTGCTTATTGCTGCAAAGTAATTTAAATTTTACTATGTGAAACTTTTTTTTTTTTTATAACACCAAATTTGTTCAGGAGAAAAGTGAATTTTTTCATAATCAAAATAATTTATTTTCTTGCAAAGAATATCATCAACAATTTTTATGATAATTAAGTCTAAGGCCCATATTTTTGTAAAATAATTTGTTTTCATTAGGAACTTTAAAGTAAGCAACTCCAGTATATCTTCTTGAGGCAGAAAAACCATAAGTTGAACAGTTTTCACCTAGTATTTGCAATATCTTGTTTATTTACAAGAAAAACAGTTAGTTTGATAGTAAAACGACAGGTTTTTTTAAAACTTGTGCCGGTTTAGAGATTCACGGATTCCAAGTAATTGATTAAATAAGTTCAAACAATCAGTCAATATTTGTTCCTATGTCATCTCTAAATCAAATTTTACTTCAAAGAAAAAGTTAAAGATTTTCATAGTTTGGATGGTTGCTGGAAACAATTTAACATACTATTCTTAACTTTTTTTTTTGCTACTAAAAGAATTTCATTAAGATAGTGTATGATTCTTTTCTAGATGCAAATAATTTTTTAAGGATAAATAATCTCTTAATAGTTAAAATACTTAGCAGCTTGTTCTTCAAGATCTTCCCTGAAAAAATTCTGCAAACAAGTTAGTTTTGTAGATAATTTTTTTAACATAACTTAAACAATAATGATTTATGGAGAAATTTTATCAGATGTGTTAAGGAAGGAATGTTTGTATGTTTAAGAAGTGAAGATTTTTTGATCGAACCAATTCGCCCCCAATTTTGTGACATGTCAAGTCTTGATGGTAATTGTACTAATATGTTCCAAAGTTCTACTTGACAGAAATTTGCTTAAATAATTTGTTTAGTTTAACTATTTTCCTTTGACTAGTATTGGAGGAGGTACCAGGAGGTTATTATTAGTATTGGAGGAGGTACCAGGAGATTATTATTAGTATTGGAGAAGGTACCAGGAGGTTATTAATAGTATTGGAAGAGGTACCAGAATTAACTGTATATACACCCTAAGGTTTCTAATAAACAAGATGGTTGAAAATATTTTTAAAATTTAATGAACAGGGCGGTATTAACAAAGATAAAGGAATTTCCCAAAAGTCTTTAAGTTCTTAAAACATGAAATAACAAGTAGAATATTGTTCAACTTAAGACAGTAAACTTTTTTTTTTAATTTATAAATTTTTAAAGAGGTTTTCAAAACGATTTCTTTAAAACAAAACACTTTCTCCTTATAACAAAATAGGTTTTTGGTTGGTTCCAATTATAATTTATAATTTGTGATGGAGAGACATCTGTTATTAATGTGTATATGTAATTAATTTGTTTTGTCTGTGCATTTCACATAAGAGGAACTAAGAGATGTTCAAAATAAAAGTCTTTTATGAAACAGTTACAATAACATGATATCACAAACTCCCTTTACAATAAAATGGTATTGTAAATTCTTGTTAATTGTAGGTTTATTACTAAATCATGTATTATGCATGTGATAAATTTATCATAATAAGAATCCATTGTTATCTTATAAATCTCTAACTAAAAGTATGAGACAATGTAATGTATGAAATAGTTATAGTCATTTTTATAAAATGTTTTATTATGAGTTTTGACAAAACTTTATTCAAGTTAAAGTTAGGTTTAAGCACTTTTAGTTTGTCAAAACAATCAAGTCAAAACAAACAAGTCACACACTAGAGATTTTCTAAAAATAGTGATTTTATCTGCTTATCTTGTTACAATATGCAGATAAAAATAGTGATTTTATCTGCTTATCTTGTTACAATATGCAGATAAAAATAGTGATCTATATCTGATGTTTACATTTAAATAACAATCTAGAATACAATCATCTCTCAGCTAGTGAGAAAACTAAAACTACCAACCTAGACAACCTAGAATCCATTCTTCTTTTCAGATAATCTTTGTTATTAAAAGTTGAGTTTTAAAAAAAAAAAGTTTTTTTTTTTTTAATTTTAAAAACTGCTTATTGATATATATATATATATTTTTTTGTTTTGTTTTATATTATGTTTGTATTTGCTAACTTTCTTGTCTTATTAAGTTTTTTTCATAAATTGACAGTTATTTTACTCAATAAACTTAAAATAAATAGAAAATGAAAAATGGGGTTATTATTTTGAATTCTTTGGTTGCACTGCATACTATTGAAATCATATTAACAGACGGTATTTTTGTTTGGTTTTTTGCGAGAAACACTGTCAGCTTTTTATAATGGAATCAGTATGTATATATATTTTATCTTAATTTTTTGTTTATTTAATTGTTTTTTTTTTGTTGTTGTTGTTGTTTTGATTTTATTTACCAATTAAATTTGGTTTAAGTTTAGTTTAGAATAGAAGCATGTTTAGAAATGCATGTTAAAGAAATAGTATTTATAATATAAAAGAATTAGTGCAAAACAGTTTTTATTTTCATTTTTTAAATCTTTGTTTTATGTTCCTTAAGGA